CGGCGAGTTGAGTTGATGCCAAAGAGCTCCATTTTGGTCTCATCTGACCATAACACTTTCACCCAGTTCTCCTCTGAATCATTCAGATGTTCATTGGCAAACTTCAGATGGGCCTTGTATATGAACTTTCTTGAGCAGGGGGACCTTGCGTGCGCTGCAGGATTTTAATCCATGACGGTGTAGTGTGTTACTAATGGTTTTCTTTGAGACTGTGGTCCCAGCTCTCTTCAGGTCATTGACCAGGTCCTGCCGTGTAGTTCTGGGCTGATCCCTTACCTTCCTCATGATCATTGATGCCCCACGAGGTGAGATCTTGCATGGAGCCCCAGACCGAGGTTGATTGACCGTCATCTTGAACTTCTTCCATTTTCTAATAATTGCGCCAACAGTTGTTGCCTTCTCACCAAGCTGCTTGCCTATTGTCCTGTAGCCCATCCCATCTCACAGTTGAAGTGTACCTATGATAAAAATTACAGACCTCTACATGCTTTGTAAGTAGGAAAACCTGCAAAATCAGCAGTGTATCAAATACTTGTTCTCCCCACTGTAATAGCAAGCAAGGCCATGAAAACATGAACAAGCGTATAAAAATACAAAGTTTACCGCCTTCAACTGTTCCAATCGGTCCTTCATCTTCAAAACTGTGTTGTCACTGTCACAATATCTGAACTATCAAAAACCAATATTCTAATCTACAACCACTAATAAAACGGTTACCAAATTAGACCATTACTGTCATGACTTCCTCCGAAGCTGCCTCCTCTGCTTGTTCGGGCAGGCTTCGGTGTTTGTTGTCACCGGCTTTCTAGCCACTGCCGCTCCTCATCTCATCATTCCATTTGTTTTGTCTTGATTATAACACACACCTGTATAAGTGTTCCCTCTGCCCCCTTGTCTTTGTGTGTGATTGTTTATTGTGGAGGTTATATGAGCTCGGTGGAGCTCCTTGTACTTGGTATCGACTTATATACGGAATAAACCTTTATTCTGTGATTTACCCTCCTGCCTCTGACTCCGTCCAAATCACACGCCACAGAATCACACACCCGCCATGGAGTCAGCAGGAGAAGAGCCCATGCCTGGAGTCGTGGCAAAGGGTCCACGAGCATTCCAGGATGCTAGCCAGCTTGGGAGAAGCGATGGATCGGGTTCTCCAGGTCGTCCAACACCTGGAGAGGAGGGGACCTGACCCGTCGGAACCAGCTGAGCAACCGGATCCGGCCACCCACACTCCAGCACCCGCGGGATTCATCCATCCCGACCGAGGGAGTTTGACGGGACGGCTTCCCGCTGCCAGGGATTCCTCCTGCAGCTGGACCTCTACTTCGTGAACATCAGCCCGGCTCCATCGGAGCGGGAGAAGGTGTCTGCCCTCGTCTCCTGGCTCTCGGGGAATGCCCTGGAGTGGGCCAACGTGGTCTGGAGAGGAGGAGGAACCGCGTTGGACAACTACGGGGAGTTCGCCCTCTTCTGGGCAGTCATCGACCACCCGCCCAAAGGAAGAGAGGCGGGCGAGCGTCTGGTCCAGCTGAGGCAGGGGACGAGGACCGCGCAGGACGATGGTTACCCAAAGGTTCCATAGAGAGCACGTCACATTTTTTATTATTTTGTCCCACGATTTCCCTGTTGTGTTGGGTCTCCCCTGGTTAGCACTGCACAACCACACCTTTTCATGGCACAGAGGGTTCTGACATGGTGGTCGTGAGAGTGTAAGGGTAGGTGCCTATCTGTTTCCATTGGTACAACCACGGTGGAAAGTCCAGACACTTCCTCCACCGTGCGAATCTCCCCAGAATACCTTGATTTGGCGCAAGCGTTTTCCAAAACGCAGGCGACCAAAATACCACCTCATCGGGGCGGGGGGGATTGCGCTATAAACCTACGAGTAGACGCTGTGCCTCCCAGGAGTCATGTATATCCCCTGTTGCAGGCTGAAACTGAGGCGATGGAGACATACATCTCCAAGTCCCTGCGCCAGGGGTTCATACGTCCCTCCACTTCGCCCTCCTCCTCGAGTTTCTTTTTTGTGAAGAAGAAAGACGGAGGTCGGTGCCCGTGCATTGATTACCGAGCAATGAACAATGGGACAATACGTTATAGTTATCCTCTGCGCCTCATCCCATCTGTGATCGAGTCAATGCATGGGGCGCGCTTCTTCACAAAATTAGATCTCCGGAGTGCGTATAACCTGGTGCGTGTCCGAGAGGGGGACGAATGGAAGACAGCATTCAGTATAACCACGGAGCATTACGAATACCTGGTGATGCCGTACGGTTTGATGAATGCTCCATCCGTTTTCCAGTCCTTTGTGAACGAGGTGTTTCGGGACATGCTTGGTCACGGTGTAGTGGTTTACATCGATTACATTCTGGTGTATTCCACTACACGCGCCGAGCATGTGTCCCTGGTTCGCAAAGTGCTGGGCCGACTGTTGGAAAATGACCTTTATGCCAAGGCAGAGAAGTGTCTGTTTTCCCAGCAGTCCGTCTCCTTCCTCAGATACCGCATTACCACCTCAGGTGTGGAGATGGAGGGAGATCGCATTTCAGCCGTGTGTAATTGGCGACTCCAACCACGGTAAAGGAGGTGCAGCGCTTAATTGGCTTTGCCAACTACTATCGGAGGTTTATCTGGGGCTTTGGCAAGGTCGCAGTTCCCATCACATCTCTGTTGAAGGGTGGGCCGTCCCGGCCTCAACACCCCCATATCATGGCCCTGATTGGGCGCCCTTTGTAGTATGGGACGGGACATAGAGTGGCGACGTTGCGCACGAGGAGCCATCTCAACCTCAGTGTCAGCTGGGCTGCAGTACGGCCGTCTCTTGTCGTGGGGGGGGGGGACCGTTTCTCTAATCTATTGGGCACACAAGCCACCTCTCTGGTCACCAGGTATTCGGTCGTACAGTGCGGCTGCCTGAACGGAAGGTAAGGTGGCCTGCATTGGTAAGGACGTGGAGGGTGTATGTCTCCTCCTGCTCGGTGTGCGCCCAGAGTAAGGCACCTAGGCACCTCCCAGCGGGTAAATTACAGCCCTTACCAGTTCCACAACGGCCATGGTCCCACCTGTGTATTGACTTTCTAACTGATCTTCCCCTCTCTCAGGTAACACCACCATCCTGGTCATTGTGGACCGCTTTTCAAAAGCCTGCTGCCTCCTTCCTCTGCCCGGTCTCCCCACGGCCCTGCAGACGGTGGAGGCCCTGCTTACTCACGTTTTCCGGCACTACGGTGTGCCAGAGGACATAGTGTCTGACCGGGGTCCCCGGGGCAGGTGGAACGGGTGAATCAAGATGTGGGTAGGTTCCTGCGGTCATACTGCCAGGACCGGCCGGGGGAGTGGTCTGTGTTCTTGCCATGGGCCGAATATGCCCATAACTCTTTTTGCCACTCCTCCATTAACCTAACTCCCTTTCAATGTGTCTTAGGTTATCAGCTGGTTCTGGCACCGTGGCATCCGAGCTAGACCGAAGCTCCTGCGGTGGATGACTGGTTTTGGTGCACGGAGGAGACGTGGAACGCTGTTCATGTTCACCTCCAGCGCGCCTTGCGTCGCCAGAAGGCCAACGCTGCCCGCCACCATACTGAGGCCCCGGTTTTTGTACCGGGTGATCGGGTCTGGCTCTCGACCCGGAATCTGCCCCTCTGCCTGCCCTGCCGGAAGCTGAGCCCGAGGTTTGTGGGGCCGTTCAATGTCCTGAAGAGAATCAACAAGGTTACATATCGGTTACTAATCCCTCCCGATTACCGTATTAACTCCTCGTTTCATTTGTCTCTCCTCAGGCTGGTGGTGGCTGGTCCTCTCCAGGAATCGGAGCAGCGGGAGGTCCCTCCGCCCCCTCTGGATATCGAGGGGGTGCCGGCGTACTCCGTCCGTTCCATCCTGGATTTGAGGCGTCGGGTGGGGGGCCTTCATTACTTCGTGGAGTGGGAGGGGTACGGTCCGGAGGAGCGGTGTTGGTTCCCGATGAGGGATATCCTCGATCCCTCCCTGTTGCGGGATTTCCACTGTCGCCATCTAGCTTGCCCTGCTCCACGTCCTCCTGGCCGTCCCCGAGACTGGTGTCGGCGCGCTGCTGGAGCTGCATGTCAAGGGGGGGGGGTACTGTCATGACTTCCTTCGAAGCTGCCTCCTCTCCTTGTTCGGGCAGGCTTCGGCGTTCGTCGTCACCGGCCTTCTAGCCACTGCCGCTCCTCATCTCATCTCATCTCATTATTCCATTTGTTTTGTCTTGATTATAACACACACCTGGTTTCAATTCCCCTAATCAGTACCTGCATAAGTGTTCCCTCTGCCCCCTTGTCTTTGTGTGTGATTGTTTATTGTGGAGGTTATATGAGCTCGGTGGAGCTCTTTGTACTTTGTATCGACTTATATACGGAATAAACCTTTATTCTGTGATTTACCCTCCTGCGCCTGACTCTGTCCAAATCACACGACACAATTACAATTTATTAGCCTACTGATTAATCCAGGGACTTGGCCGAAAATACGTTTCAAAGTTAGTTGTAAAAATATTTAGTAGGCTAAATGGTCATTTAGAATATGGTCATCAAATAAAAAATAACAATCCTTTTTACAAAATATCTGTTCAATACGGCTGCAGACACATCTCCAACCTGTAGTTTTACTAAGCCTTTTCTCTCAAGGAGGATTAAAGCAACAGTTGTGTAGAGGGTGATTCATCTCTCTCTTTCTCTCTCTCTTTCTCCTTCTCTCTCTCTCTGATCAATAGCATGTGTAAAAGCGCATGCAAAGTAAATATCACGCATGCTCGCTGTTTTGGGCGCACTACTCAAACAGGGCACTGAATGGAAAGGTAATAGGTTAAGTTCTAAATCTGTAAAATCAACCCACTGGGTTGTCCATTTATAAATAAAATGAGGCTGTATTTGTATTGTTATTTCTTGACCCCATCTGCTTGCTAAATATTGCTAATTAAGGCCAGGTCAACAAAAGAAAGTCATGCAATGGTTATTGATTATTGAAGATATTTTTTTATTCCTTTTTTGTTTGCTATTCAAGCAATGCATAATGTTTCATAGTACAAACAAGTGAAGCAGTACTGACTGTGATAGTGAGAACTTTTAGCTGACAAAGGCTTAGTCTTTGAGCTGTGGGTTTTCTCTAACATTTTACAGGGTCCTGGTGTCGTGATATCTGAGAAAGCTATAATGCAAAGTTTATCTGCCAGGTAGTATATACTGCTATACTGCTCATCTTTCATCTACTTTAAATAATAAACCCCCCACTCCCTTTTTCCACCATCCCCTCTTCTTCTTCTCCTCCATTCAGTTCCTCTCTTTCCTCAGGTTTGAAGGCACACAGAAAGAAATTGGTTTGGCTGCACGGCTTATCATTCCATGCACCTTTTCCTGAGATGGATAGATAAAATGAAAAAAGTTAGTTTTATCCATTATTAATCCCTTTTAGAGAGTATTGAGCTATATGAGTAGCTAAGTAGTCTTGTCCAAGCCAGAAAGGCAGGAGCCTATCTACTGTTTCTGCAGCGTGAGGCTTTCGATGTAGCGTTTAATACACCCCCTGTACACTAGACTATCGCAGGCCCTTACCCCCAATCCTTCTCTTTAGTGCTGAGTGCCAAGCAGAGAGGAATCTGGCCCCTTTTCGTATGACTCAACCTGGGATCGAACACCCAAACTTCCAAGCTCAGGACAGTCACTCTAACCACATGGCCACTGAGCTATATAATACAAAACTTGTGAGATCTGTCATACTTCAAATCAAAAACCTCCCACTCCCTTTTCCACAATAGTTAACACAATTCGGAATACATCAGCATACTGGGTTTGGTGTAGCTGGTAGCCTAGCGGTGAAGAGCGTTGGTTCAAATCCCAGAGCTGACTAGGTGAAAAACCTGTTGATGTGCCCTTGAGCAAGGTAGTTAACCCTAATTGCTATTGTAAGTCGCTCTGGAAAATGACTAAAATGTCAAATGTAATTTCAAAATATTTTCATATCGACTCTTTCCCTTGCCCCCTACTCCCTCCCTCCCTCCCTATCTGCCCACCTTCCTCCCTTCCATCCCTCACCCCCTCCCTCCCTCCCCTCCCATTATCCCTGCTTTCTCTTGCTTACGCTGCCAGTTCATTTCCATGCAATTTCCGTCACCGGATGGTTGCTTGGGGTTCTGAAGCCAGGAAAAGTAGTCCATGCTGGACCCATCAGTCCAGAGATATTGGTGAGGCTATGAGAGAGGGAGAAACAGAGACAGAGACAGAGAGAGAGAGAGACAGAGAGAGACAGAGAGAAAGAGATAAAGAGAGAGAGACAGCGATCAATCATAAGGACAGAAGGAGTTGGGTGGCATGAACACGGTTGCCCACCTGTTTTTTTATAATGATGATCAATTTAAATGGTGAACACTATGGGCGGTTTCCTGGATACAGATTAAGCCTAGTCCTGGACTAAAAAGCAGACTCAATAAAGAATCTCCATCAATAATTATTTTTAGTCCAGGACTAGACTCTGTCTGGGAAACTGCCCCTATTCAGTCTAAAATCGTCACCTGCTTGGGGTTGGATACTGCAAAACCACCGAGCCAGATGCGAGGGGAATTTCTGCTGAAAGTCTGAGCAAAAACATCCACGTCCTTGTTCTCCTGGCTGGAGTGGATTGATATCAGATGAGATTTGTCCTTTTGAGAGCGGCAGTATGCCTGTGTGTGTGAGAGAAAATGAATGAATGAATGAATGAATGAGAAAGCGAAAGATAGAGAGTTGTCTTCATCATAATAGATTTAGAGTTAGGGTTAGACACTAATGCACAACACTGAAAACTTGTTTAGACAATAGTGTAGATACCCAGAAATAGAGTGCTGCTTTGAGAGTTAGTTATGATGGTAATTTAGATAATTCTGCATATCATGCAGAGAAAAAGAGGTACACTACAGTTTCTCTACCTTTAACGAAAAGAGACCTTGGTCTCAATGGGACTCTCTTGCCTAAATAAAGGTTAAATAACTGAGAGAACATGGGTCTGTAGACTAAAACCATAGAGAAGTCTGAATTCACCTCAGCAGATGTAAAGTCCAATTGTTCCTGGAAGTGCTTAGCACATTTGGACCCCAGTTCATACCAGGTAGAATGGCCAGGACATGGGAGAAAGTTCTTGAACTTCCCAGAAACCCGCTTAGGTTCTTAAAGAAAAGGGGAGAACAAGGGAGAGATTAGAAGGACGGATATGAGAGGCTCCGTCCATATACTCTCAGGGCTGGTTTCCCACCCACATGGGAAAATACTCCAGTTAACTAAAGAATATTACAGTACTTACTATAGAATTCCATAGTAAACTGTAGCATACTGTAGAATACTATACTACACACTGTAGTATCCCACGGCCATTTGTAGTACTTACTATAGAATGTTGTAGTATACTGTAGAATACTATGGTAAATACTACAGTATTATCCACACAAAAACACAGTAGTAAATATTACAGTAATTTCCGCAAAAACACTACAGTCTGCAAAAACACTACATTTTTTAAAACTATAGTAAATACTACAGTATCTTATTTGCATATACCCTGCCCATTCCCCTCGCCCATATCGCAATTTGTTCCACCCATAGGTGAGAAACCGACATGCCAAGTATAGACCTTAAATTGTGTTTCCTACAGATTATAGAAAAGAGCTGAAGCGCTGGGGTCTTTTCAGACCTACCTATAGGCTATGGAAAATTAGCTCTTAGTATTTCTCCAGTAGGTTTCCTGAAGGAGAAAGCCTCGACTTCTATGTCAAAGATAATAAAACAAATACTACAGTAATATCCACAAAAAGACTGCAGTAAGTACTGTAGTATTGTCACGCTTGTTTAATGACGGGACAGACCAAGGCGCAGCATGATATACGTACATGTTTATTAACGTAATAAACACTCGACTAAACGATACAAAACGTGAAGTCCAAGGTAGCACACACAACATACCTTACAAGGAACAAGATCCCACAACTAGACAGTGCCAATAGGCTGCTTAAGTATGGTCCCCAATCAGAAACAACGAGCGACAGCTGCCTCTGATTGGGAACCACACCGGCCAACATAGAACTACACATACTAGAACACAAACATAGAAAACGCACAACAAAGAATATACACACCCTGACTCAACATTTAAGCGTCCCCTGAGTCAGGGCGTGACAAGTATATACATTTACATTTTAGTCATTTAGCAGACGCTCTTATCCAGAGCGACTTACAGGAGCAATTAGGGTTAAGTGCCTTGCTCAAGGGCACATCGACAGATTTGACTACAGTTATAATTTACACAGTATTTATACCATAATTAACTGTAAATACTACATTAAAATCAGCAAAAACGGTACAGTGAAAACTATAGTATTTATATGTATACTATAGTATATATGTTTTTATGTGGGCAGACACAGAACTTTACATGAAGATTCTCATTTGATCATGCTTTTCAGTCCAGTACTAGGCTTAATCTGGGTCAGAGTAACCGGCCCTCAAAATATATCTTCTATTGAGAGAATCTACATCAGTCACTGTGGTGTTGAGATGATGAGGGCAGGCTACTGTACCAGTGGAGTTTAGGCCATTGAGCACCATGGCAGACGCCCCGAGTAGCATCATGGCCAGAATGGGTAGAACCTTCATCATGGGATCTTCACTTCTCTTCAACTGTTGGGAAAAGAGCAAAGTTATTATACATATATTTTTAAAGGAGACCGGGAGTTCTGACCTGTGGGGGCACGTGACCAGACTCCGGCACACTCAGAGACAATGAGAAATACAGATAATATAGAGACAAAGGAGAAAGCAAACAGAAAGAGGTGGAATAACATTGGAGAAGAGGTGCATTTTCTCATTACAGAATCGAATATTTTGGTTTTACCTTGGTGTATGGAAATGTCAACGTCTTTTTCCTATATTCTTGCTTCTTCTCCTCGCCTCATATGCTCTCTTTCACTCAGCTCTGCCTCCTTATATACTTATTCCATACCTCTTAATCTCCTTTGTATTTCCTCTTTTCTGATGTCTCAACCTCTTACTCATGAAAAGTTGCAAACCCTCTGGTTTTGTCAAGAATGTATGTGCAATCCCTGGGTACATTTGCAGCCTAATATATTGTCCCCCTTGGTCTTTTCAACAACAAAACAACTCTATATCCCAAGTATAACTACAGTAATGTATGACAAAATTAAGAATTCAAAGAAAAGAACACCCTCCCTACAATCAAACATGGGAGAGTTTCGATAATACTGTGGGGTTGCTTTGCTGCCTCTGTTACTGGAGGCCTTCAACATGTGCAAGGCATCATGAAATCAACAGATTATCAAGGGGTTTTGGAGTGCAGTGTTCAACCCTGTGTCCAAAAACTAGGTCTCCGTCGAAGGTCGTGGGTATCCAGCAGGACAACGACCCCAAGAACACATAAAAAAGCACCCAGGAACGGTTCAAGAAGAAACACTGGACTGAGCTTATTATGACAGTGGTCCACACAGACCTGGTTCTGGAGAGCTGTGGCTTCCTGCCGTTTATTTGTCCCATTCAATATTTTTGCAGTGTAGATATATGCAATATAGGAAAACGGTGCTGTCTGGATCTCTGGAAACAGGTCTGGGTGTAACCCACTGATCTGGATCAACTGTTTGGCTGGACGCGTGTGTGTGTCAGAGAGGCTGTCGAATATCTACACAATGTGTGTGTCAGTCTATCAAACTGCATCTGTTTAGAACCGAAATGTGTGTGTGTGTGTGTTTTATGGTGATCTGCAAAGTATGGTCGGTCAGGCAGTGTTCTGCTTGGCCCCTAAGACCCTCACAAACTTTTACAGATGCACCATTGAGAGCATCATGTCGGGCTGTATCACCGCCTGGTACGGCAACCACACCGCCGGCAACTGCAGGGCTCTCCAGAAGGTGGTGCGGTCTGCCCAACGCATCACCGGGGGAACACTGCCTGCCCTCCAGGAAACCTACAGCACCCGATGTCACAGGAAGGGAAAAAAGATCATCAAGAACATCAACCACCCGTGCTATGGCCTGTTCACCCCGCTATCATCCAGAAGGAGAAGTCAGTACAGGTGCATCAAAGCTGGGACCGAGAGACTGAAAAACAGCTTCTAACTCAAGGCCATCAGACTGTTAAATAGCCATCACTAGCCGGCCTCCACCCAGTACTCTGCCCTGAAATTAGTCACTGTCAATAGCCGGTTACCACCCGGTTACTCAACCCTGCACCTATGTACATAGACATGGAATCACTGATTACTTTAATAATGAAACACTGGTCACTTTAATAATGTTTACAGAATGTTTTACTCATTTCATATGTATATACTGTATTCTACTGTATTCTAATGAATGCCACTCCAACATTGCTCGTCTTAATATTTATATATTTCTTAATTCCATTGTTTTACTTTGAGATTTGTTTTTATTGTTGTGAATTGTTAGATACTACTGCACTGCTGGAGCTAGGAACACAAGCATTTCGCTACACCCGCAATAGAATCAGAAAAATATGTGTATGTGACCAACAAATGTGATTTCAAATCAAATCAAATCAAATGGTATTTGTCACATGCGTGGAATACAACAGGTGTAGACCTTGCCATGAAATGCTTACTTACAAGCCCCTAACCAACAATGCAGTTTTAAGAAAATAGAGTTAAGAAAATATTTACTAAATAAACTACAATAAAAATATTAAAGTAATACAATAAAATAACAATAACGAGGCTATATACAGGGGGTACCGGTATAAGTCAATGTGCGGGGGTACAGGTTGTGTGACGATCGTGACAGGTTGGTTGAGGTAATTGAGGTAATTTGTACATGTAGGTAGGGGTAAAGTGACTATGCATAGATAATAAACAGCGAGTAGCAGCAGTGTAAAAACAAAGGGGGCGATCAATGCAAATAGTCTGGGTGGCCATTTGATTAATTGTTCAGCAGTCTTATGGCTTTGGGGTAGAAGCTGTTGAGGAGGCTTTTGGACCTAGACTTGGCGCTCTGGCACTGCTTGCCATGCGGTAGCAGAGAGAACAGTCTATAACTTGGGTGACTAGAATCTTTGACAATTTTTTGGGCCTTCCTCTGACACCGCCTAGTAAAGAGGTCTTGGATGGTAGGAAGCTTGGCCCCAGTGATGTATTGGGCCATACGCACTACCCTCTGTAGTGCCTTACGGTCGGATGCTGAGCAGTTGCCATACCAGGTGGTGATGCAACGGCTCAGGATGCTCTCTATGGTGCAGCTGTAGAACTTTTTATGGATTTGGGACCCTTGCCAAATCTTTTCAGTCTCCTGATGTGGAATAGGCGTTGGCGTGCCCTCTTCACAACTGTCTTGGTGTGTTTGGACCATGATAGTTTGTTGGTGATGTGGACACCAATGAACTTGAAGCTCTCGACCCGCTCCACTACAGCCCCGTCGATGTGAATGGGGGCGTGTTCGGCCCTCCTTTTCTTGTAGTCAATGATCAGCTTCTTTGTCTTGCTGACGTTGAGGGAGAGGTTGTTGGCCTGGCACCACACTGCCAGGTCTCTGACCTTCTCCCTATAGGCTGTCTCCTCGTTGTCGGTGAACAGGCCTACCACCGTTGTGTCGTCAGCAAACTTAATGATGGTGTTCGAGTCATGCTTGGCCACGCAGTCGTGGGTGAACAGGGAGTACAGGAGGGGACTAAGCACGCAACCCATGAGGGTCCCCCGTGTTGAGGATCAGCGTGGCAGATGTGTTGTTGCCTACCCTTAACATCTGGGGGCGGCCCTTCAGGAAGTCCAGGATCCAGTTGCAGATGGATGTGTTTAGTCCCAGGGTCCTTAGCTTAGTGATGAGCTTTGTGGGCACTATGGTGTTGAACAATGAACAGCATTCTCAAATAGATGTTCCTTTTGTCCAGGTGGGATAGGGCAGTGTGGAGTGCAATTGAGATTGCGTCATCTGTGGATCTTTTGGGGTGGTATGCGATTTGGAGTGGGTCTAGGGTTTCCGGGAGGATGTTGTTGATGTGAGTCATGACCAGCCTTTCAAAGCACTTCATGGCTACCGACGTGAGTGCTATGGGGCGGTAGTCATTTAGGCAGGTTACCTTTGCGTTCCTTGGCACAGGGACTATGGTGGTCTGCTTGAAACATGTAGGTATTACAGACTCGGTCAGGGAGAGGTTGAAAATGTCAGTAAAGACACTTGCCAGTTGGTCCGCAGATGCTCTGAGTGCACGTCCTGGTAATCCGTCTGGTCCCACGGCCTTGTGAATGTTGACCTATTTAAAGTTCTTGCTCACATCGACTATGGAGAGCGTGATCACACAGTTGTCTGGAACAGCTGGTGCTCTCATGCATGCTTCAGTGTTGCTTGCCTCGAAGTGAGCATAAAAGGCATTTAGCCCATCTGGTAGGCTTGCGTCACTGGTCAGCTCGCGGCTGGGTTTCCCTTTGTAGTCCATAATAGTTTGCAAGCCCTGCCACATCTGACGAGCGTTAGAGCCAGTGTAGTAGCATTCAATCTTAGTCCTGTATTAACGCTTTGCCTGTTTGATGGTTCATCTGAGGGCATAGTGGCATTGTGTCCCGTTCCTTGAAAGCGGCAGCTCTAGCCTTTGGCTCAGTGCGGATGTTGCCTGTAATCCATGGCTTCTGGTTGGGATATGTACGTATGGTCACTGTCGGGACGACATTGTCGATGCACTTATTGATGAAACCGGTGACTGAGGTGGTATACTCCTCAATGCCATTGGATGAATCCCGGAACACATTCCAGTCTGTGCTAGCAAAACAGTCCTGTAGCGTAGCATCCGCGTCATCTGACCACTTCCGTATTAAGCGAGTCACTGGTACTTCCTGCTTTTGATTTTAATTGTAAGCAGGAATAAGGATATATATACATATAATTATTTTCAGATTTGCCAAATGGAGGGTGAGGGAGAACTTTGTACATGTCTATGTGTGTGGAGTAAAGGTGGTCCAGAGTTTTTTTCCCTCTGGTTGCACATGTGATATGCTGGTATAAATTAGGTAAAACGGATTTAAGTTTGCCTGCATTAAAGTCCCCGGCCACTAGGAGGGCCGCTTCTGGATGAGCATTTTCTTGTTTGCTTATGGACTTATACAGCTCCTTGAGTGCGGTTTTAGTGCCAGCATCGGTTTCTAGTGGTAAATAGACAGCTACGAAAAATATAGATAGATTGGTAGATAGTGTGGTCCACAGCTTATCATGAGGTACTCTACCTCAGGCGAGCAATACCTTGAGAATTCATTAATATTAGACTATGCGCACCAGCTGTTACAGTGGGGAAAAAAAGTATTTAGTCAGCCACCAATTGTGCAAGTTCTCCCACTTAAAAAGATGAGAGAGGCCTGTAATTTTCATCATAGGTACACGTCAACTATGACAGACAAAATGAAGAAAATAAATCCAGAAAATCACATTGTAGGAGTTTTAATGGATTTATTAGCAAATTATGGTGGAAAATAAGTATTTGGTCAATAACAAAAGTTTCTCAATACTTTGTTATATACCCTTTGTTGGCAATGACACAGGTCAAACGTTTTCTGTAAGTCTTCACAAGGTTTTCACACACTGTTGCTGGTATTTTGGCCCATTCCTCCATGTAGATCTCCTCTAGAGCAGTGATGTTTTGGGGCTGTCGCTGGGCAACACAGACTTTCAACTCCCTCCAAAGATTTTCTATGGGGTTGAGATCTGGAGACTGGCTAGACCACTCCAGGACCTTGAAATGCTTCTTACGAAGCCACTCCTTCGTTGCCCGGGCGGTGTGTTTGGGATCATTGTCATGCTGAAAGACCCGGCCACATTTCATCTTCAATGCCCTTGCTGATGGAAGGAGGTTTTCATTCAAAATCTCACGATACATGGCCCCATTCATTCTTTCCTTTACACGGATCAGTCGTCCTGGTCCCTTTGCAGAAAAACAGCCCCAAAGCATGATGTTTCCACCCCCA